CCCAATTTGGTCTGGGCCCGAGGTGGGCTTAATAGCCGGCGACTACAGTATTCCTAAAATTAATAAAAAAAAGCTTTCTCTAATAGGTTACCTCTTTAAAAGGTGCTTTGATTAGATATTCGGCTGATGGTTTTCTGTGTATATTAACTTCTCCATGGTAATGTCACAATGAAATTGGAGACTTTTGACAATTTCTTTAATTTACCTGAATATATACGATTCAATTTGACTGTAGATGAAAGAACCTACTTTTCTATTTATAATGGATTATTTTCCGCATAAGTGGATTAAATCCACGATCCGTTATAAGCTTGCGAATGCGAAAAACAGGCCACATATATGGCCATTTTTTTGAAATACTTATTATGCTTCTGTCTGTTCCGTTTCTAAATAAGGCATACGCGGAACATATAGTTTACAAAAAAGTATATTTCTACATGACTTACATTCAATAAAGCCTTCTCAAATTACCTTCGCGGTAAAAAATGCGGACACTTTGCTTAAACGCGAAGGTCAGCGGAGCGATTGAAACAAAATGCGAGAAAACTTTTCGTTACTGCGTTTTGTGCGACAAAACTAAACAGGTCAGCTAAAAATAATTTTTAATATCTAAATCTTAAATGCTTCTGCAAATAAATGCGATTCCTTCAACTTGGCTTCATTTGAATCTGAACAATTTTGGACAAAATTTTCCAGTTCTGGAAGGAATATCCTCTACACCTATTTTACTTATTTCGGAGTTCCTCCATAATATAATCAGCATTAATAAGCAGTTTAGTTCTGTTTTCCGTAGAAGCATAGGAAATTCCTTCGATATGAGACTACTCCCAATTTCTCCAAAATTAATGGCCATTTCTCTTAATAAACCTAACTGAAATGGTGATTTGCCTAACTAAAAGGCTTTCGCAGAATTAAATCCATTCAATGAATCAAAATAGTGGTACCAAATATATGCTAAAGTACCAAGTCAAATTTCATCATGAATTTTGCACGGTCTTTAGCGAATACTGTATATAAATCTATTTTTATCATGCGGACTTCAAGATGGAGAAGTCTGAAATTCGTACAAATATGAAATGCGAGTTCTCATGCGGAAGCACAGCGAAGCAGATCGTATTTAATTGACCTGCGAAATTGATTCCTGGTAATTGCGACCTCGTGATTAAGCCACGCGGTTGACCAGAAAAAAGGGTAGCTAATT